ACTACTCTGCTACAGTATTACGTAGCTCCCACCCAACTCTCCCTTCTTACTCTCTCTCTCTCCTGTCTGATAAGAGGCCTGTGTTATGAGGACAGTTGGTATTAGTATTTTGCACTCTGCTCGCTGATCTTAATGCACTTACAAGCATGGCAGTCGCACTCCAGTCCCACGCAGGCTTTGATTCTGCTCCAGATTTGCAGCCTGTTTCCCATCATCCACTCCCAGTGTATCTGCTGAAGCTCACTGAAAGCACAGGTGGCACACACACACATAGAAACACACACATTCATGTAAAGGTCCCCTCATTTTAAGCTTGCCAGTCCCTGCCTGGGCCAACTTCTCCTGGGTGGCAGCTAAAATCAAAGCATTCATCCATCCTTGACTGTGGGAAGTAAAATGTGGAGCAGGGCGGAGTGAACTGGGCTGGAGTGCGACGGCCACGCTGGTGTGGGGAGTGACTGTGTCCTGTCAGCCTCTGGTTAGTGTTCTGTTCTAATCTGCTGGGCTCCCTTTGTGAACCTGTGGACGGTGCTTCTGTTCTGAGTGCCATGTGAGAAACAAACGCTTCAGTAAAAAAAACAAAAAACGATGTTTTACTTAATATGTTATTTTAATTTACCTTTATATTTTCGTTTGTTTGTTTGTTTTGTTATCCAAGGGTTTAAAGTTCAAAGCTCATACTCTTTATGTGGGGACCTGCCAACCTGCACTCCTTTTAAATGTGATAAAGTCTTTCTGTTGATCCGAACCATGTGTGCCAAATTGTATGTATATTCCTCTGTCGATGCTTTGAATATTAACAGTGCATAAAAAATATGAAGAAAATTCTGTTTTTGGATGCATTTCCATCAACCTTGAAGAAAAATGAAAATGCAAGAGTTTTCCTAGTGTGACAGATCTGTATCCCAAATGCTCACGGGTGCTGACAGAATTTTTGCTGCAGTTTACAAAAGGTTTAACACAATTTGTAGTTTTTGATTGGTTGCAGTCTTGCTCAAGCGTAGGCCTGCACTGTGCCTCTCTCCTTGCACACAGTTTACCTCAGTCCGAGGCGCCTCCCTCCGTATTTACACCCTTTTCACTGTGTTTTACCAGCTCTCACATCATGTCGACCACAACAGGTTGATTCCTCCCAAGTGTTTACAACCACAATATGAGTATCACAGTGAAAAGGAAGTGGACATGGTGCATTAACGGTTCAAAACTCCACCAAAAGACGCATAGATTCACGGAAATCTGTAAACCCGTCCAAATCCAAAGCTCCATGGTTTTCCTCTCTATGGATTTCTGTTTCTTTCAGTTTATTTCCAAATGGCTTGTATAGCAAGTGAGGGAGCAGATGTTTTCACACAGCTGTGCAGGGATGCCAATAGTGTAACACAGCTGTGCAAAACCCTAGCTTATTGGCTGATCATAGCTCAGCCCTCGCCTGCCCCAGACACAACATTTCCGCTTTACAACTGATCTTAGTTCACTCAAGGATTATTAGAGACGTTCCTCTTTTCCTGTGCTGCATCCGCAGAGCCTCTTGGCTGGTGCAACAGTCGCAGTCCAGCAGCAGCCAGCCAAAACGCCTCTCCGTATCACTGCTTTCTCTCTCCATACACATACATAGCGAATAAAACATTACTTTGACATCTGGAATTTGAAATTGCATGCATGCATCAGCATGTGGAAAACAGATTCAAATCTTTTTTTTTCTTTCTTTTTTTTAACATTTTCCCCTTGCTTCTTTTGGGCTAAGATGCCTTTGAGATGAACTCAATCAGTTGGGCGGATGGCCTGCTGCCTGAGAGCACCACCACGATGAAGCTGCAGTGTATGTCATCTTGAAATGGTTTCCCAGTCATTCCAGACACTTATGCAAGAGTACTTACCAACTCAGAGATGCACAGGAGAAAAACAGTGTTTCAAAGTAAAAAATAAAAATAAATTCTGAACATTTGCAGTTTTAGATTTGATATTACTAATTAACACTCGTAGTTTTAGGTCTGAAAAATGCACTAAGACAATGAGTGTAGTATTTCCAATAGCTACTCTACTGTCTGTCTTGTCTTGTATAGCTGAAGTCCCTCACAGACACCCATCATTTAGTTTTAAGGTGAATTTCTTTCTGTTTTATATGGTTTCTCAGGTCATTCCAAACAGCAGTTTTCTTCATGTAAGAAACCACTTAATTTAGCATTTACTAACACACACGACATCATTCTGTTTCACTGTGTGTCACAGTTCACTGCACAAACTTTCACACCAATTTTCCTTCACACATCCATGTTTGATGTAAGCTTTAGTGTTCAAAAGTCAAAAGGAGAGGCTCTGTCAGTGGGTTATTTCCAAATTCAGAGCCACTGTGTTCACTCATCCACACTGAGAACCCAAACAGCCACATCTGCCTGCAGCTATTGTTTCCTTCGCATTTATTTTTAAGGTATTGCAATGCAGCAAGATCGCAAAAACATTGCAGAGATGCTACAAAAGTACATCCTGGCTGGGCTTGTCATGTACAGTACTAAGATGCATGTGTAGTCAACCAGAAAATAAGGCATGTGTTTATGTACAGCTCATCTTCTCTTTCCACAGTAGTTTAGAAGTCATTTAGTGGTGTGGTGTGGTGTGAGGGAGGAGAATGCCCTTCCAGTCGTGTGAATTTGCCAACTGACGCCAATCCACTGCCCCCTGTGCCACCTGACTCCCTGTCCTCACCACTGTCATGGCCAGCTGGTACATTCATGATATACCTTAACCTATCTCTGGGAATGCTTCAGAAACTCGCTTCACATCCATCCTACGACACACTTCCTGTTAGTGTTCAGTCACCACTGGTAATTTTCTACAAGGCATACCCAACAGGTTGATTTCTGAGCTAGTTCTCCTCTACTCTGTCCTTTCTTGTGTTTTTCTTTTCTTTTTTTCTTCCTGGTTGCAAACACTCTTCTCGTCTCAACTTTGTTTTTTAAACCCTTTGAATTGATGCTGCTTCTGTGCTTGACTCTGGGTTTACTGCGTGGTGCCATGTTGTCCACATGGCCTCTAGAGCTTGTAACGCTTCAGTGTGTAATGTTACCATATGCCTTACATGTTTTCCAGGACTAATAAAAAAAGCATAACAAAACGTCAGGAAATGTGCTTTTTTATTTCGGTGCCCTTTCTGAAATTCTCTCAACGCAGGTTTTTACAGTGTAAAAAAAAATTAAATTTACTCCAGATTATTCCACAAATCACCTCCCTTCTTTCCAAAACCACATGATTCTAAACTATGGTACAGGATGGTACAAAAGGTGTAATTATACAGTACTATAAACACAAAACAGAATATTGTGCATGAAACTGTGAGAAAATGTTCAGGAATGTTATTGGAAATATTTAAAAACAATGGTGGTTGGTCCCATTTGTCATTTACACACAGTTAACAGGGAATGTTAAAAAAAAAAATCTATATACATCATCAGACATTGTGATTTTCAAACATAAAGATATAACCTGGTACTTTTTATAATACAAATATAGTGCAAATGGCTCTAACCACATAAAATATTTTTTTAAATATAAAACTACATAAGAACTCCTCCTCAGATTGCTTTTGTTCTCAAGACTCGGCTGTTGGCTCCTCAATCCCATAGTAGGTCAAGACATCAGACAAGCGAGTCAAGTAAGTGGAATCTGGGTAACCACTCCTGGGAGAGACAAAAAGAAAAGACCATTCATCTCAGATACATGGACTAGTGTGGCCTTCAGCTCTACAGCTCTGTTGGACATTCCCACTGCCCTCACTCACCCTGATTTGCCCCCATATATTCTGGTCTTGTGTGGGATGCAGTCCCAGGTGACCCCGGCCCCTGTCTCTTTGTTCGTCAATGTGAAGGTGAGTCCGTGTCTGAAGGCTTTTTCCAGCCTAGGCAGCAGCTTCCACGCCTTCTCGCAGTCAGGAAGGAAGGCTTCAAACATCCCTCCTTTAAAGCGTTTTCCTGGAGAAGGGTGACCCTGCTGGTAAGAAAAAGCAATGACCACAGTCGTAAACAAAGTCTCACAGGTTTTTCAGTTTATAGTTATAAGTCTTGTTATTAAAGCTCAATGTGACACCAACACTGTGTATTTTACAGTACTCTATAAATCATAGCAGGCCTTTCTTGCAGGTCTTAAGTTGATCATAGTTGACATTGTGTAGAATTGTAGCTGAACATGAGTGCTCTGTAATTGCTTTACACAGAATAATATCATTTTCTGTTAAGTGATATTAAGTAAAACATTAGAAAAACATATTGATGATTCACTGAAACTGGTGTACAATAACCAGTAAAAAGACACCAGCTGAGTAGCCATTGCTTTGCCCATATTATGTGTTATGTCTTTCCGGTGGAAAGATGAATGGGCATCCCATTCAATTCTGTGAAATGCCTCTATCAGATACAACAGTCAGAGATCAGAGATATCAGATATGTTTAAAATAAGCCCCTCACCTCTTGGATACCATCAGGAATTAGGTAAGTGATCTTGATAGCCGAGTCTTTATTATAACCTGGTACGCTAATGTGTATTTTAGAGTGTTTCATTTCGCCCTGGATGCCCCGTGGTGTCGGCTCTGTCTCATGGCAAACTTTGCAGTGGACATGTACAGTGTCCAGGCACTCGGAGCAGAAGTTAGCCCCACATTTAGTTCTAATCGTCGACTTCTTATTCTCCCCACACACACACATGCGCCCCAGGCCTCCAAGACTTGACCTGGATTCTTCCGGGGTGTCCTTGATCTCTGTTTGTCTTTGCTGTGCAGTGTCCTTTTGGGTTGAATGCGTGGTTCTCTCTTTTGTATGAAGGGCCAAGTCTTTATCAG